TAAATATCAACATATGGGAACTGGAGGTTCACCGAGGGCCAACGATGTTCGAAATTTTCGCAATCGCTAAGCTTGGGTTGCATGTAGCCTGGCCCATTTCGTCGCTTCTTTGTAAAAATCAAGTTAGTGATCTAGGCCCTGTTGATTTGCAAGTCTGGTCTTGACCTCCAGAAAGTTTCCACAGCATATGACATCATGTCATCAACATCGGCGTAGAATCGCTTGCCGTTTCAATGTTGGGGAAAGCTTGAATGACGAAAGCGGAGAAACTCGCTCATACGAATGAGGGGAACGAGAAAAAAGTCAAAAGTTACAGTAATTGGTCGCACGCAACACAAACGACAACAACCGACCCCTGCATCGGAGCACCATTCCGATCACACACACAAAGCTGTCCGCTTTCATGACGTTTCAAAGCGGTGATGTTTTCAGAGAGCCGCTTCGGAAGTTCAGTTCAGCTTTTCTCCTGCTGAGCCACGATTCTTTTAAGGTTAGTCCATCATAAAGACGCGCCGAAACATCCCACTGCTACACCTTATGTCACGCAACAAGTCACCATGTCGGCGGAGCAGGCAGTGCTAGCCTTCTTTGAAGCCGAGGCCCGAGTGCCTCCGCCGTTTTGACAGCTGTGTTGGCTCTGAGGAAAGTGCTGACCCAGGCCACATTCACTGACATAAAACCCGGCACCAGGTCGGCTGCATTAGCTTCTAAATGCGCGACATGTTCACAGGACACTAGGGAGTCGGCAGCATTTGTTCTGGCACAGGCCAGGGAGAACAGAGCCAAGGGTGCTGAGTCTTGCTAAACAGACAAATGCTCCGTAATGATGGTCTCACGTCATTCCCGTGAATGCTGGCAATGTAGCGATTCGTCGCTCTTTCAGAAATGGCCTGAGGTTGTCTTTAAGTGTCTATCTCCCGCTCGCTCTGTGATGCTCGAACTCGCTTCCTGCTTACATGTTTATAGGCGATGTTATGGCAAGAGACCTAGGCCCTCCATATTGACATGTTTTCATCTATGTCTTATGAAGTTAACCTCTTTTGGGCGCGCATAAACAAGACCGCGTGCTGGACAATTTAACTAATTTCATCGATCATCGATCAAATTCCATTAAGTTAGTTCCTTCAAAGACTTGAATCTTAACTCTTTGTGGACCCTCAGCTTCTTTAGGAGACTGAGTTGATTCTCTGGGGGTGTAATGGTGGGGGGGGGGGGGGGGGGTAGTGCCTTCGGTTCCCACGTAGGTGATCCAGTTGATTCCGGTTTCACCACGGCTCTTGGGCAATGACGTGATCTTTGCAGTCGCCGCTCTCCGCAGTAAAGGATGTAGAACGACGTGCCTCCCCTTCCGTTCTAAAAGACTCAGTTTATTCTGCATAACTGCCAAATGAATTAAATCAAACACACACAGTTTTAATGTTCTTGCGCCATTCGATCGAAAATGGACCGAGAACATCAAAGTTATCTTATTTTCATCCAACCATTACAACTACCAATCATTTCACTCATAGCTAGAAAACAATGTGGCGTATTGTTTTGCAGTGATAATCTTCATCCATCATTAGATACATCTACCATCAGCACAACGTGCACATGTTCATCCAGATCAAAGCGTGCAGAGTGCCCCAATCCCACTCCACAACGGCTCGTAAAACTCAGGTCAACGTACCTTGACGCATAATTAGGCACTTGGTAACACTGACTGTCACCCATGAACTGATAAGCTTTCAGTTCAACATAAACACATGTTCAAGCAATGATATATTGCATAGCTGATCGATTTCAGAGTGACACGTCCCCATGACGTCACACATGTGCTCTAAAATGCAGCGGGTGGCACTGCCACTGGCACATATGAAGTTCATGTTCGTGAACTGCGTAAGATTTATACCGATGTGCATAAACTCGGTTTACCAAAATAAATGTTTAATATGCTTGCCAAGAAATGCACATTTCGTGCAGAGACATAACTTGGTTGTGCGGGGTGGTACATATAGCCGTTTAATCGCATTTTAATATCAGCTGGCAAGGTTTGCGGTAACGTGTGCTAACGCAGCACTGCTTATACATGCACAGGTGGATGAATGGTTTTCAGCACGCTAAATGACACGTCACCTCAACAGCGCCTTCACTGGAATGTCATCGCATTGCCTGCAACGTCTCCAACCCGCCGGACAAACAATAAAACGCCAGCTATGGCCCGCGAAGTTGCCAGCGTGCAACGGTCCAGCCGCGAATAATCCAAATTGTGCACGGTTGTAGCGGGAGTCCGGCATTTGTTCCGCGAAAACTCGTAAACGGTGGCCGCCTCTGTCGCAGCTTTGTGAGCCAATCAAGCAGCCTCGAGCGCAAAACACGATTTAAGTATGGATTCAAACTGCGGTATTTTACGACCGCAGGTCAACTTTTTCCAGCTGCAGATAGCCATAGCCTGCATGGGTAGAATTCCAGCAGTCTGGGCAAGGGCTGGTAATCCTTAATACTGCGGCAGTGTGTCTTGCCTGCAACGCATTTTCATTGACAAGTCTGATACCACGTGGCAAACCGGCCAATGGCACACGCTGAACACGATGGAAGACCAGTTCAACACTTTGGGGCGCAACCCGAGCCAAGCACAGGACATGTTGAGTGCATCGTTCAGTAATGACAGATAATCACGAATATTTCCAGCGCTCATCGTAGCAATTTCGGGCGAGGCCAATGACACTGGACTCATCAAGTCGGACAGCACCACTGGTCTGAAACAAGAATAAGTGGTATGTTGGCTGTCCATTTCTGGTTGAAAGACCATGAACCCGGTGCCCCTAGTCCATGGTCGGGAAGTGCCAACGTCTATCTTGGTTAGACTAATACCCACGCCGATGTGTGAGGAAAAGGGCTTGCAAGAGACCAATAGAGACTTTGTGAATTAGCGCCATACTCCACTTCTGTGAAAAGCCTGAAGTCGCCACGGCGCCCCGTACGGGCTTAGCCCAGCACATCCGTTTTTCGTTTTCTACTTTTGATGGGCTCGCCGGCGCCCGCGACATTCGTGAGCGTCTGACCGAACTAACGAACTACAGCACCACTGTCCCCCGCCGCGCGCGCCGGCTTTCTCGCACCGGCCGGGCGGCGCGGCCCGGTCCCGCCACTAATTACGGTGTCTGGCGACCAGCGTCGTGTCCAGGCCGGGCCGAGCCCGGCGCGCGGCCCCGACACCGCGCGCGGCTGGACGAACGGGGCCGCGCTGGAGGGTCGGACGGGCGCGGCCAGGGTGGGACCAGTGGAGCTCGGGCCTCGGAGCGGGCGGGCGTCCACAGACGTCCGCCCGCCGGACGCACTCCGCGGAGCGGTGGCGGTTCGAAGTCCGGAGGTAGAATTGACTAGCGCGAAGACACAGCAAATTCAGTTGAGAACACCGGTGGGACCAAGGCTGCCCATTCCAGACAAATCATACTTCAAATAAAACGAGCGGGTCTTGCCGGACTGTGACGAAAACACGCAAACAGTTCTTCGGGCCGTGAACGCGAGAGAGACACGGGGAAAACGTCCCCCGACACTGCTCCGACCCCTGAGTGCGCTCCGCCGCCAGGGCACCGGCACCGCCGTCGGCACATTCAATCCAACGCCCCGTGTCGCTCGTCCGGGCAAAACAGCCGCGGCGAGCGGCGCATCGTCGCCGGCGGCGAAGACGGCACGGCGGCGCGGCGGCACGACGCGTCCCCGATCGGGCAGGTGCGCCGGGCCGCCTCGCCCGGGTCCGTGTCGCGTCCGGCCTGGCCCGCACGGCTGCGGCCGAGCCAGCAGGTGGCCACGTGGCAGCCGGGCGCGCCGGCCCTGCCCGCGGTCCGCGCCCGCCACCCTCGGGCCGGGCGGCCCAGTGTTTTTAGCGCGCCGGCGATCGCCTGTTTACCGGCCCGACCGGCGCCATTTTGGAATGCGGCCGGCCGGCCGCGCGGCCCGCCAACGGGCGCTGGTGAGATAGAGGGAGGGGAGGGGTGGTGAGGGAGAGGTGAGGGAGGGAGCGGGAGAGAGATAGGAAGCGAGAGAGAAGCGGAGACAATGAGATACGGAGGAGGACAAGGAGAAAGAGAAGAAGAAGAGGCGAATGGGAGTGTCAGGCGGAGAGAGACGACAGCTCACTGTCCGTCGCGAAGACGAAAGAGAGAGAGAGAGGGAGAGAGGCCAGGGAGGAACGTTCCCGGGCGGAGCAGGCCACAGGACCGAGGGCCGAGAACACGGACGGCGGACAAAGGGGACGCTGGCCGGACACGGCCCGCGCGACGCGGCGTATTGTGACAGGTGCCGAGGGCGCCTTTCAACCCGGCCTGCCGAAGAAAGGCTCGACGGACAGCGGGCACCGGCATTGTCACCTGACAAACCATTCCTGAATGAAGGGATGCACTGCTATCATGTCAGCCGCTGATCGCCAGAGATTACAAATCTGGGGAATCCAGGTGCTTCCTGCGTTCCTTCGGGTTCCACTTCACATGGGAATCCTCTTACTGACACGTGCAATCGCAACACAAAGCATCCGTTCAGTTAACGTAAGGGACTTCAGCGTTCCAAAATGGGCGAAAGATGGCCACTTCAGAACGTGATGGTATATGTGTGTGTGAGAGGTTGGTATGCTCCTTGTAACATACTGCTGCTAAATACGAACAAGCGCTCATTTGATTTATAACTGGGAAGAATGAATCAACGTTCAGAAGAATTAGGTTTGCTCCAGCACTTAGTTACGTGTACGTGAGGAAATTAAAGTATATTCAGTTACGTCGTTCCACTTTTCACAAAAGCTTAATAAAAAATTGCTTCCTCACCATACATTTTGAAAGTGGCTCTTTTCATTACACGTGCTCAGACTTCACATGATTAAAGAAGACGCATGACGTAGCTCTTTCTCCCCTCCCCACCCCACCCAAAAAGTCACCTTCAGGTACGCTATTTGGCGACACTGTTTCTGTACCACGAGCTCAAGTTCCAGCATTCGACGGCAGCGAACGCGGCGCCGTGCCACCTACCTTGAGGATGCAGTGTCCGACGCTCTGGTCCTCGGCCACAGACACGTTGTAGAAGCTCTGGTCGAACACGGGCTCGTTGTCGTTGACGTCGACGATGGTGACGAGCACGGACGCGGTGGCCGAGAGCGGCGGCGACCCGCCGTCGGTGGCGACGACCGTCACGCGCGGCTCCGGCTCCGTCTCGCAGTCCACGTGCGTGCGTGTCGTGATCAGGCCCGTGTTTTCGTCAATCTCGAACCAGTCCGAGTGCGTGTCGTCGCCGGCGAGGATGGCGTACAGCACTTGCGAGTTGGGCCCCTCGTCGCTGTCGACGGCCGTCATCTGGATGACCTCCGTGCCCGGGTCGGCCACCTCGAGCACGCTGGTGCGATACTCTGCCATTTCGAACCGCGGCGCGTTGTCGTTGGTGTCGGTGACCACCAGGTCGAAGGAGCGGGCGGTCACCAGCGGCGGCGTGCCTTGGTCCGTGGCGCGCACTGTCAGCGTGTAGTTGGGCTTGAGCTCGCGGTCCAGCGGGCGCGACACGATCACCAGGTAGATGATGTTGTCACGCGTCGTCAGGCCGAAGTGGCCGTCGCCGCCCGAGAGCGTGACGTTGACGTTGATGTTGTCGTACTCCTCCTTGGTGTCGGGGTCGTTGACGGAGATGCGCGCCACGAACTCGCCGGGCTGCGCGTCCTCGGCGATCTTGGGCGACGCGTCGTCGCTCAGGAAGATCAGGTTGATGGTGGGCAGGTTGTCGTTGACGTCGGTCACGTTGATGGTCACGAAGGCGGTGGTCTCGAGCGGCTGCGCGCCGTTGTCGCGCGCCACCACCGCCACCTCGTGCACCTCGCGCACCTCGAAGTCCAGTGGCCGGTTCACAGAGATGACGCCCGTGTCCGGGTCGATTTTGAACATGCTCTCGCGGTCACTCTGGCGCCGGTTGATGGAATAGGTGATTCGGCCGTTGGCGCTGACGTCCGTGTCGGTGGCGAACACCTGCAGCACCGCGCTGCCAATGGTGGCGTTCTCCGGGATGGTGGCGAAGTAGCGCGACTGGTTGAAGATGGGTTGGTTGTCGTTGACGTCCTGGATGGTGATATTCACCGTCATGGTTCCCTGAAGCGGCGGCGAGCCGCCGTCCAACGCCTCGATCACCAGGCTGTAGGACCCTGTCGTCTCGCGGTCCAGGATGCCATTGATCTGCAGGTCCAGATACAACACGCCGTCTCGCTCGCGGTGCGACGACAGCCGAAATGCGTTGTCGACGTTGCCGGACACGATGCTGTAGCGCTGCGTGTTGAACACGCCCAGGTCGAGGTCGCGCGCCGGGAAGAGCGTCCTCTTGACGTCGCGTGGGGTATTCTCGGGGAACTCGATGGACATCGTTTCCACGGGAAAGGTGGGCGCGTTGTCGTTGGTGTCCTTGACGCGGATCACCACGCGGATGTTCTCGCCGCTCTGCGGAATCGCCACCAGCGAGTACGAGCTGCGCACCTCTCGGTCCAGCACGACGCGCGTCCGCACCTGGCCCGTGCCCTCGTCGATGTTCAGGTCGGCGTCCACGGCGCTTCCGGGCACGGGCACGATGAGGTAGGGCGGCTCCGGCGGCCGCGGCCCGCCGCTCGTCCGGCCGATAAAGCCCACACTCGTGCCTACCGGCACGCCTTCGGCTATCTCGAACTCGCGCACGTACTCTGCGCCGACCCCGACGCCGCCCAGCAGCAGCAGCAGCCAGAGGGTGGCGCGGGCGCTCCTCTGGACGCCCATGGCGGCTCGTAGCGTCCGCCCGCCTCCACTCATCTATTATTCATCGCCGGCCCCTGTGGAAAGGAGAAAAATGCTACAGACGGCGGCGCGATCCGCGCCGATGCCATTCCGGGCCGGCTGTAAATGGCGGCCGATCGGCGCGCGCGGGCAGCCGCGTCTGATGAAGACACCCACGCCGCAGACGCCGTGGCCCGCGGGCAGGTGCGGACCCCGTCGCTCGCAACGACCACTCCAAATACAACTCACTTTTACCGGCGGCCGGCCGGCGCAGCAGGAAAATCCGGCAGCGAAAAACAGAACGCCTGTCAGCGCAATGCATGCTGCTCGCCGGCCGGCGTCCATTACAACGCAAGAGGCCTGTCGTCCGACGAGGCGCACTTGCCCGCAATGAGGAAACAACATGGCGCGGTCACGCACGGCGGCGAAAGTTCTCAGCGTGACCGGCTGCGGTTCTCCGAGATCACGCCGCAGCCAAGCCACTCAGACGCGGCAAAAACGGACGCCGGCACTGCCAATGCCACAGCGCCCGGCGATACGTCTCGGCGGTAAAAAGTCGTCCCGGTGCCGACGCGACAGAAGCCCGCCATGCGTACCTATCTAATCACGGCCCGTGATGCGGCCAGCGCCGCGGTATGCCCGGTCATACCGCCAGTGTTTCATACTAATCCCGCCCCTAATGGCCGCAATCAAAAGCTGCTCGGGTTATCCCTGGCTCATTGACGGGCGCTTCATGCGGAGAGCATCAGCCGACTGTGCCACATTCTCACGTGCCGGAGACGGCCAGCCCGGACCATCGAGGTCATCTCCCGCCGACGTGCGCTGACCGCGGCGGACCGCGGCCTGGGTGACTACGCGTCGGCGGCCGGCGGCGCGCCCGACCCACAGAGCTGGCCCGCGGCGCAGGGAGCTCGCGGCGTCGGCACCGCATCGTTCGGAGCCGCGACTGCCGACACGCCGCCTGTCCGCCGCCGACCGCGCGGTCAGGGCGGACCCGGCGCCGTCGGGCGAGCGCGTGCGCCCCGACGCAGCGGCGGCAGGCCGGGCGGCACCGCGTTCCGCCGACGGCGGCGGCGGCGGCGGTCGTGCGCGGCTCGTTCGCGACCCGCGGCCGCCGCTGCTGCGCCGCTGCGCCGCGGCGGGCGGAGCCGACCGTCGATCCGGCTCCTGATATGCAAAGCAGTGGGCATTGTTATTGGCGAGCCGTTCACACCTTGCCGGCGCAGGCGGCGCCGCCGCCGACCGTCGCCACGCCGCGTGACGGGCAAGACGAGCCGCACTGGCCGGGCTGGACTCAGGTCGCGCCGGCACCGGTCGCAGGGTCCGGCTCGAGAGTGTTGGGGATGATGGCGGGGATTAGCGGAAGCGCGTGACGGCCAAGTGGAGGCGAAAGTGCTGCGATTAATGGTCGGGAGAAAAAGGGGTCCCGAACGTTGCCTACTGTTTGGGATCTCGGCGCGTGGGATGCGTGGCGTAAGACGCGACGAGGTAAGCTGCTTACGGATTTCTTTACCTCTCATCGGCGCGTTATCATCTCGCCGGGGCTTACACAGCACTGTTCACACGCAAGCACGCACACCACCAGTTTCACACGCGAGTTCCGGCGGCCGCGGCGCACAGTCCACCCCTCTCCAGCGCCTCGCTCGCACTGCCGGCCGCCGACCGGCGCAGTTCCACACCTGCCCGACAGGCGGCGCCACGAGCTGGCGCTGGCCGAACACCCACTGACCGCAGGCTACTCCGGCAGCAGAGGCGCGTCCAGGTACGCCAGTCGTGGGGTTCGGCTCCCCCCGCGCTCGCCCCGATGCCCATGGGGAGGAGGGTCGACCTTTGCGTGCGGCACTGGACGGAGGACGCGACGGGTGGAGAGCGCTGGCCGAAGCCACGCTCCAGCTCGCTGAGCGCGCCTCTGCCGGCCCCGTGTAGTTTGCATGATTAGACTCGGTTATCTGGAGGGAGCCGGGCGGCGGCGCTGCCCGAGTGGCCGGCGAGATGCCCGGCCGACGCGGCAGCCGGCTCCCATGCGCACCCCGACCCGTCACCGGCCCCGACACGACCGGCCGCCCTGTCCACCGTCACCGAAACTGGGCCGTCCAGACGGGCTGGCCTGGGAACCATCTCAGACATCAAACCGTTTTTAGGGGTGTCAGAGTCGGGGAAGAGAAAGATGACCGATATTCTCTCGTGAGGAATTCTGATGGCTTCAATTGGCAGACATCCGTTATTGTTTAAATCAGGAATTCGGGCGGCTTCAATCAGCAATCAGCCAAGTTAAACGAGCAGCCATGATTCTCAAAATGATCCCAAGTTGACATGCATTGTTCGTAGGTCATTTCCTTGAATGACGGTATTCTTTTCCGAGCATATGTCCAGTGAATGCCCACCATTAGTCCACTGAGCAGCTCAGAACTTAGCATTTAGTCAAGCTCCTGCAAATTTGAGTGAAGTGAAGTGGGATTTATGTCAAACATGAAGGTATCAGGCTTATGTTTCATTCTGCTTCGGCGAAGTCGATTCAGGATCTGGCTCAGCAGATCGCTTTGATTTTGAACCTGACACAGCAGCAGAGCGCACTTTTGAGTAGCCTCTGATTGCGAATCAAAGTGATGTGGTGCAATCAAGAAATCCATGCCCAAATAGCTCATCACTGTGACAGCACTCCAGGGGATAGACCATTAAATGGCTCTCATAGGCCACTCGTTTGATACCCAATAGTCGATATATCCTAACATTGTATTTATTGCACATATACGTGTTGTCAGGAAAGGACTGCCAGTTAATTCCTTTCAGTCTGAGTCGACTGATTAATGATCCTAAAAATACGGTTGACCGTGCCGCCAGCGCCGACGTCGACTCACACATTGCTTCCAGGCTCAGGGAACGAAGGGACTTGTGTTGGGGTTGACTGCAATCCCGAGTCAGATATGGTATGGAGAATAATGGATGAGCTCTGCAGCGGGTTGATGCGAGGCAAAATATCGCACGGTTTACATACTACACGACAAACATTTCATATGAACATAAGCTGCGACCAGGACTTCAAATCCATGTTTTATTAACAAAGTACTAACTTTGCGCTAATTCATAACTACCCGTTAATGGTGAAGAAAGATTGAGTATTGCCGTGTTTTCAATCGGAATCAGTCGGCTCAAAGTTGTCCGATGCTGCTGAGAGTCAAAGTCGTAATCAAGTCTATGCGCTTAGAGGGAGTGCTCTGCATTTGTATTGGGCTTTGAACTGAAATGGCCATCTGGAAAATTTTCGGTGCTGTTCGCAATCTTGTTCTTTAGTCCTAAGCCCCTCTAGTTTCTGAGCCACACGCCTGCAGAAGTGGGAAAATTTTATCGGGGGAGTATCTCCAAGTCGCCTTGGCATTCTTGAAGTCACAACGTCATTCCAACCCGGCCGTTCCGTAATCCATGCGGCGATCAAGGCCAATACAAATGTATTTGTCGAAGTGTTCATATCTGGCGTTCGTGAGCGCGATATGCGGACATAACGGCCGTCAATTGGCTATCAGTGTTGTGCAAGGTACGATGACGCAATCAAACCGCGACCCACTGAGGAGCATATTTCCTAAACAGAGAATCGTGCTGTCTAGAGCAGTCTTTTCCACTTAAAAAGTATATGATTAGCTATAAGTGAGCTTTTTTAATCATATCTGATGTTTGCTTCAGTACCTCCAAATGTGAAACATTTGCGTTGAAACAACAGCGTTGTGCAAGGTACGATGATGTAACCAAACCATGTCGCACTGAGGAACATATTTACAAAACAGATAATTGCGCTGTCTAGAGCAGTCATTTCCATCCAAAAAGTTTGCCATTAGCTATAAGTGAGCCTGCTGCATCATATCTGGTGCTTGCTTCAGTATCATTAAACTTGAAACATTCCCTGTAAGCCACAGGTGAAATGGATTGAGCTGAAGCGGAAGTTAGCAACAATATGCGCATAACGAACCAGACTATCGCTGTGCGACTGCACACACAGGGGAAAAAGCGAGGCATGAAAAGGAAACAGCTTTCAGGCTGTCCGTTACGAATGAATGGCTAGCAGCAGAGCAATGTGGGCCGTCATCAGTATCGTCATCATGCGTTTTTCGTCGATCACGACTGATATCACGTGGTGCATAGAGGGTGGAGGCAACAACAAAGGCGAATTGCGGCTGGGCTTCTTCCGCCACTGATGTTCATACACCAGTGACACTACACAATGACATTATTCACAACGGTTCACTGCCCCTCCCCCCTCCGCCCCCCCCCCCGCACACACACACACATCCTTACGAGAAAACCGGATGCCAGGCGGCCAAAGAACACGGAGTTGCAGCTGACCTCCAGCACGGTGTCCCGCTGTCAGCTTTAACGGCCGATGCGTTGTGTAACTGCGCTAGCAAGGTGTGTTTGCACTTCTCTTACCACAAACAGCCATTCCACCTTGTTTGATCTCCACAAATGATTACCTTGTTTGTTCTCGTCAGGAGGGTCTGGTATTTTTTAGATCAACGCATCTTGTAGCTCCATGCTTTTGCAATGGACCGTGGGGGATACATACTCTCCGTTTCCCAGTGAGTGACCATAGCCGCAACCGCGAGCTGTCGCTCTCCTAGAAGGATTTTAAAAGGCCCGACCTTGATGGAAATGTTTCTGCTCGCCGTCGGCGCGCATGGTGATGTTGAGGTTTGGCCCGTTTGAAATGAAATTATTGAAGATTTCTGAACCTCGCGTTGATGGGCGACTGCTCGCTAAACTGTGTCAAAATGGTTGGTTTCCTCCGAGCTACTTCCGGTATTTGTTCCAAGCATCGGATTGCAGGAAAGTGGACTGCAGGAGGAAAGCCGGTTAGTGGAGGGAGAAACACTATTGGCAGCGCGTAGGTGGTTGTTTGACTCACTCTCCGGTGGCGGACAGGATTAGTGTTGTGACACACTCTCCGGTGGCGGACAGGATTGTGTTATGACTCACTCTCCGGTGGCGGACAGGATTGTGTTGTGACCTACTCTCCGGTGGCGGACAGGATTGTGTTGCGACTCACTCTCCGGTGACGAACAGAAATGTGTTGTGACTCACTCTTCGGCGGCGGACAGAATTGTAGTGTGGGATCATTATTGTTTCAGGATTGTGTCAGGATTGTATTGTGATGCCATGCTGTACAGAAGCGTGGGCATAGACGTGGGAACCATGTTAGTGTAGGGAAAGAAATTAATTAGTGTCATTGAGGCCCTCAATCCTGGACAAGTTCCCTAGCTTCGGGGCGCAGATCAACGCTTTTCTTCACATAAATGGGGCAGTTTATGTGTCGTTCTGTTGATAAGCTATACCAACCAAGTTCCCTTAGCGGCTTAGAGGTGAGGGTACTGAGTAAACGTGACACGACACAACTTAACATTGCAATTGACCAAGTTCCTCGGATGCAAGCCTTTGTATCGCGGTTCTTCACATGCAAAACGTTGTTCGCAAATATGCGTATCGTAGTCAATCGCTGCCAATTTCTTCGAGGTTTCAAAAGTGGCCACTTTCAGCCACAAGTAGCCAAAAGAAGCCATTTCAAAAGAAGACCCCTTTATGTCATCATAACATTTGCGAGGGAACCGCGAACGTTTACTTGTGCGTGCATACCTACAAATCCAACACGGCATGTCAACTGGGGGGGGGGGGGGGAGAGAAATCCCCCCCCCCGTGACAGGCGAATCCCCCTTCCCCAGGAAGCAGCCAAATAAATCCCCAGAGCAAACATTGCCTCGTCATCAGGTCACGTCCGGCCAGGTCTGTAGCCATGTGACACGTTTCAAGCAGATCTTGTGTGGAATACACACATGTTTCTGGCGGGGCAGCTAGTCGCAACTAATAAAAATAAGAAAACAAAAGATGAGCGGACGGCTGCTTTTTTAATGTCACGGATTTTAAAATTATGTCGCTTGACCTTAAAATGGCATAGATAAGTACAAATATCATGGGAAGGATATCACAAATAAAGGTTTCTTTCCTTGTGACGATGATGCTGGATTCCACTCCGATCGTTTTAATTTCAAGAACTATTGCGATGCAGGTGAGATTACGCGGGCGGCTGCCCGGTATGGAGGCGGCCAAATCAAAAGTTTTCGGCGACCGAGTGAGAAGACAGAAAGAAACCTACCAGCGGGCTCCGGTGTGCATCGCAACGGCTAAAAAACATTTTCTTAGCGAGCATAACGTAAACAGCTTTGCTCTACCCGAGTCCAAAAATGGCACTTGTTTGTTTCACTTCGGACAATGATTACGGATGTGTAGCGAGCGAAATGTCTTGAGATCTGCATTGTCCTTCGCCGTTGCTAAAATTGTTGGTAAAAAGTTGGCATTTGTCACACTTTACTCCATTGCCACGTGCCGGTCTACGATGTGCTTCTCAATGGTGTGTACGCTTTTCGTAAACGTACTTCTCCGAGGTGTTCATTAAAATGAACACGAACGCCACGTTTTTATTTTTTAAAAATCACGAACTGTACGCTTTCTTTTGTATGCGGGCAAACGGAAGGTAACATTTGTAAGCAGTTTAATGAATACTGTGGAAACGTACGCTTGCGCAGAGTCTACACACCACCCAGACCACTAGGGGATCGCTTGGTAGACTGACTCGCAGCAATGAAGTATAGTGCA